AAGTATGGGTTATTACAGAAAAGTTATTTTCCCCAGAGTCTTTCCGGTCCACAATCAGAAATGTTAAAGCAGATTATATTTAGAGGCAGTAACATAAAAGGGTGACTAATATTTGCCATGCAGAAGCTGGTGTTCATTTTTGGCAGCCAAAGGAAAAGCATCTGCCCTGTGTGCCTAATGGGCCTGCAAGAGGGTGGGTGGGGGGATAAAAGTGCTAATGGTCACTATTACAATGTTTAAGTGCACTGTACTGGCCAAAGTGCTGGACCATCAGCCCCAAATGGACTGTGACAGCCATATTGACAGTTTTTTGTTGGTTTTTTTTCTCTATCCTGTTCATTTTAATAGCTGGCTGTTTCTCCTAAAAGGTTGTATTTTATTTCTTTCTCTCCTTGTGTTGTATGTGTAATATTTAATATTATTGTATTGGAAATGGACAGCAGTGACACATGGACATGGGGTAAAACTTCAAACCCAGTGTGTTACCCTATCCTTTGCAGATTCTGGGTTTTAGCCCACAAAAACTTATGCCCAAATAAATTTATTAGTCTCTAAGGTGCCACAAGTACTCCTCGTTCTTTTTGCTTCTACACACTAACACGACTACCACTCTGAAACCAAAGGGATCTGTATCTTTTTTTATTTTTATTTGTTTTAAACACTGGCCGCACTTATCATGCCAGTAAGTCTCATCAAATTGGATTAGATTGTGCAGAGACACTAAGCAATGAGGTTTATTTAAAAGCCAACTACTCACATTTCCCATTTTGAGAATTTCATGGACAACTTGTCTGTTTGGTACTGTCAAGATATGTGGTGTGGCCCCAATATTTCCTCAGTCTTTTATTCTACCATTTAGCAGTTGATTAGGAATCTGGATAACATGTTTGTTTATTTAAGCACCATATTTGTGTAACCCACATTAATACAGTGTGACTTTGTCCCCACTACAAAGTGGGTAGACTACAGACAGAGGTTTATGAGTTTGCTGTTGCCTCTGCATCAATGGGCTTAATCCTTTTAGCTGAATCAGTAGAGGCTCACAGACAACCTGACTAAGGGTGTCATTACATTTATTGTCTTACTATTATTATTTATGTTCTATTAGTATCCAGAAGGCATAGAGAGCATTGGGAATTGAGGGCATCCAGCATCTTGCTGCAGGTATTAAATATTTTGCTGCATCCAGGCCCTTGGACTCCAGGCCAGTAGGAAGCTATTAGAGCTCTGTTGACAAGCAACTTTCCCAGGAATTAACACCTGTGAAGTATTTGCTGACCTCAGTAATTTAAAATGCCTTTTTATTTCAGCTCTGCATTCCCAACAAAGGGATGATGCCCTGTCATGAGGGTGCTAATGGGACAAGGATAGTGATCTGTCTATTCATAGCTTTAACATGACAATCTAATTAAATCTTCTGACATACCATTGTAGCCTAGATAGACTTTTAATGTGGATGCAATCCACAGACCATAATATGCACAACATATAAATATTTTACATTATGAGGGTGGGGCAGACAAAGAGTTTAAGTACAGCTTTTAGTCTTCTTCAGACATAATCTAGAGTTGCTGCTTTCTCAAAAGAAAAATTAAACCAGTCTTCTATTGCACTGCAGCAGATTTTTCTGGGTATGTATTTTTACATGTTGGGCCAAATCTTGTTCTCCATTCCAGCCCTTTAACTCTGTTAGAGCCTATGGATTTGCATTAGCATAATGGGGGGATAAAATGTCTTTTTTTGTTGGCTGTTTTTTTTTTAGTTGTTGCTTTTTCTTGGATATTCAGAGTCTGTGAAAAGAGACTTCAGATAATTTGGGATTTTAGTCAAATTTATTTCATCCCTTTTTTCAGGTTTAAGTAATACTCATTTTTACATGAGATTGGCAGACTTTCAAGTACAAAGGACAAGGGCTAAACTTTGTTTGGGCCATCAATGTCTTTGGAGTGTACTGCATTAATGGCGAGTGTGTGAGCAAAATTCTAGAAATGCAATATAATATATGTAGTCAGGATTTATTTCTCGGGGGTAGCGGAGGCTGAGTTATTAAAATCATAGTAGTGACGATCACTGTCTCTTCACTCTGAACTAGGCTCTCATTGGAAATAATGCTGTCAGACTTTTATGTCCCGCCCCCCCACCTCCTTCCGCCCAAAATAACCTACCTTTTAAAGGTTCCCTTTCTTTGCAGATTTACTGAAAAGATAAAAATTTCCTTTTGTCGTCCTGTTTTAGCATTTTATTAAAATGTAATATTGAGCCATAGAAAAAGCAGTCTCAGTTAGATCAGGGACACCCCTAGAGCATGATTTTCAGAAGTGCTGAATACCCAAAATCCCAATCAAAGGCAATGGGAGCTGCAGAAAATCAGCCCCTCAAGATAGCCTCTAAATTTGGGTGCCTATACTTGAAAATTTGGGCCTTAACTTCTCTGTGCCTCAGTTTTCATATCGAGGATGATAATACTCACCCCATAAGGGTGTTGTGGGGCTTTATTCATTCACATTTATAAAGTATCTTGAGGTCCACAAATGGTAGGCTCTACAGAAGTGCAAATTATTATTTTTAACAAAGAATAACCAGTTCCTTGCTATGCAGAGATGTTTTTAATACCCTTTTCCATAACCCCAAACTGCTTGCCTACAGAAAGACAAATAGAGAATATAAAAGAACTGGCGATGTTTGTTTCTTGCACCTTTATTGACTTGGACACTTATATGTTTCAAGTGAGCGAAACGCAAAATAAACAGTCATTCTTCAGAAGCTGCTGAAACCACTTCACAGTTTGCTTAAACTCCAACAAAGCTGTAAGAAGGAACTGTGAATTTGGGAATAGGAGCAGCAGTTATTCCAGCCAGCTGTCATCCCACTTTTGGAGGGGTTTTTTTTGTCCTTACTAATTCACACTTCTGAAGAACTTGATATTATTTTTTTTTAATCCTGGCCACAGTGACTATTGCATTAAAAATAAACAGAGCCTCTCTCTGCTTTAAATTCCTTTCGCTGACCGCAGAGGATATAATACCCTTTTCCCATCTGTACGGAAGATTGCAGCAATATCCAGGCTCAGAAACTGCAGAAATAAACTTGGGTGTGCTGTATGCCCGATGAATAAATTCCCAGACAGAAACTTGGTTAAAATCTAGTTAAAGTTTTAAACTATTATTTTGTAGTACCATAATTTAGCATGATACTTCACAGAGAGAAGGAAAACCAGTCCCTGCCCCAAACAGTTTGCAGTTTACATGTGACAACCTAGAAAATGAACATAGTGGACAAAGAATGGGAGTACAAAAAAGAGAGAGGAGAATTCAAATAAATGTGTTGAAAACAAAGCTTACAAATTCTGATTTTTAAAAACCGAGAACAAGGCACAGCTGGTCAGAATTTTTCCAGTGCATTGTTTTTCTGTTGGAAAATGTCATTAATCAAAACCACCATGTTCCACAGGAATGTGTAACTTTCAACAAAATTTCATTTTGGGGGGGGAAAGGGTGGAAATCGAAACTAAATGTTTCAACCTGATCAGAACAAAGTGTTTGGATTTTTCATTTCAAAACAACATTTTGTTTAGAAAGTTATTTTATTTTTTGATTTTGTATTTAAAATTTTAAATAAGTCAAAATCAAATTGTTTTAATTGTCCCAAATTATATTTTTATTTATTTATTGGAAATTTAATTTTATGGGAAATTTTAACTTTTTCATTCTGATTAGGAATATTTTTTTCCTAGAAAAAAGTTGGAATTTCCCACCTAACAGAAATTCCAATTTTGGAGCAGCTCTAGAATGAAGGTAGGTAAAAAGAAGAGTAGGTAGTGCAGGAACAAAGGTCAGTGGTGGAAAACTAGGCAAGAGAAGTAGGGGAGGAGGAGCAGCATATGAGAATCCTTGATGCATCTGTCTTAATTTAATGGATATTTTAATGCAACCTTAAAGTACATTCTGCTGCATTTTTAATCTGGGTTTCCTTAGCGTGTGTCTGCACTGCTGCTGGGAGGATGCTTTCCAGTGCAGGTAGAGACAGACAGACTAGCTCTGTTCAAGGAAGTGCGCTAAAAATAGCGGTCCAGCAGCAGCTTAGAGTAGCCACCTGAGTATAAACTCACCTGGACCCCTTGAACACCCGCTCAGGAAGCTGGTCCAAACCACCCCCCGTGTTACACTGCTTTCACTGCTATTTTTAGCATGCTAGCTTGAGCAGAGCTAGCGCCTGACTGTCCGCCTGTGCTGGGAAGCACCCTCTCCGCGGCTGTGTAGACGTATCCCAGGTGTGTTGCACTACAAAAAACTGAGTATGAAAACTTGCTGTGAACTGTAATATTTTCTTCTGATAAGGTCTATATTTTGCTGTAATTATAGACCAAGTGTCAAAACAACATATGTTAAATGAAAAACAAGACCGTATAGTATTCTAATCAATGATTTAGCGTGGAGGGTTTTGTAACCTTTCTGAACCCAAGCGGTTTGGTTGGCAGAGCTTCTAATTCCACTAGGCTTTTGAAATTTGTTACCTCTGCCAAGATCTGAGTTTTTTTCTAAAGTCCAAAGGTTGATATAACTGTAAAACTAACTACCCATCTTTCCAAAAACTATTAAGCATATGCCTAACTTTAGTCATGTGAGTAGTTCTGTTGAAGTCAGTGGAATTACTCATACTTAAAATTAAGTTTTATGCTTTAGTATTTTGCTCAATCAGGACCTTAATGAGTAAACTAATCTGGATGTGTCAGTGGACTACTCAGGGTCCTGAGTTTGTAAAATCTTGCACATAACTATGGAGTCCTTGCTGCAGCCATGTGCTCTACACTTAAATAGGCTATCTCATTACTTTTGAAGGCTCTTTGCACTATCTTGAGCAAACGAAAGGTGCTATATAAAATCAGTCTGTTCTTGACAACTTCAGCTACAACCTAGTTCTAGGATAAAATGTAAAGCCTTTTCCATCCATTCCACTGTAAGTAATTAACATGTGTCCTGCTATCTTTTAATCTCTCTTAGGGTGAAGTTGTGGAATTCCTTGATGAACTCCTTGAAGTGGATGAAAAGAGTGAATCCTGATGAACAAAAACAAGGCATAGTTTAAAAAAAAAAAAAAAATAAAGACCCACTGTTGTGCCTTCATATCATCATTTGTAGCTCAGGTTAGAGATACTTCGAAGCTGTGCCTTTAACCTCAGTCAGATGTCATGAATCTTTCCTGTGCGATCACTGCCACAGTGCACTGAACTTTTCATGAGTGTGGTTTTTCATTGTATGCTCTCAAAGTTGAGCCATATGGGGTATAATCTTGTGTTTGATTTCTTTAAAATGGTACTTTAAAAAAAGAAAGCTATTCAGATGCTCTCACCTGTCACTGAGCCTCCTTCAGTCTGCTTGGCTAAATTCTGAAGAAGTTTTGCCAGAATATGGACCAAGTAATTGAATAGGGCATATCAATTCTCCAGATTTTCTGAGGCATGTAATGGTATTTTGTATATGGCTTTCCCCATGATGAGTAACAAACTTACACTAAATTTCAGTGCATCAAAAGATGCTAATGCATCAAACAGACTGCTCCATAATTTAGATTGTAAACTTTTTGGGCAAAGACTCTTCTATTGTTCTGTTTGTACAATCCCTAGTAGAGTGGGGTCCTGGTCCATACCTAGCGTTCCCAGGCATTATGGTGGTAATAAAAAAAAAAAAAAAAAAACCTGAAATGTGCTTTGTTTAACTGACTTAGCTAGTTAGAGCGACAAGGTGGGTGAGGTAGTATTTTTTTTCATTTTATTTTAATAAAATATATTACCTCACCCACCTTGTCTGTAATATCCTGGGACTGACAGGGCTACAACTACACTGACTTAACTAATGGCCTTTTAAAAGTTGCTCTGAGAAATTGCTTCTGTCAGCAATTTTTGATCTGTCTTGAAAATTGCACAAGGTTCAATATCATGAAGCAGGAGATCAGTCAGAATTAATGCAATAAGTAGTTAAATTTCTCTCTCTCTCAATTTTTGCTCCTTTCGGGCCCAATCCTGCATACCTCTTCTCTCACAAGTAGTTCTTGTCCATGTGAGTAGTTTCACTTATGTGAGTAAGAGCTAATCAGGTAAAAAGTATGGTTTGTGTATTCTCTCATCTAGATAAGCGTTTTCAGGCTCTTTAGTCTGATGGGCAATCTGCATATTTTCATACCCAAAAGGAAGTAGAGATAAAGCTATCTGTTTTGAAGAACCATTTATCTTAATAAAGAGCAAACTTGAGATGTAATCATAATCTCTGTACCCACTGTTGATGGTAGATAGGATGTAATCATGAAGAATACATCTATACCAACTTTTGACCATAGGTGGGAGGACTATTTGGGAGATTGAACTCCTACCTTTTTCACTAGTGTATTTTCCTTGTTATATGATCCTGCCCTATAAACAAGTATTTTGAAGACCATGAAAAATATTGTATTTAAAGATAATAGGTGAAATCCTGGCCCCATTGAAGTCAATGGCAAAAGTCCTATTGACTTCAGTGAAGCCAGGATATCAGGTCTTTCTTTAAGAGCTAGAACCTGCAAGTGCTTGAGGTCTACTCACTTCAATGGGAGGCAAGGGCATTCAGCCCCTTTCATGGCTGAGCCCTAACTCAGCTATGGAGTTCCAGTATGTGCAAGTAAATTTGGAGAAGCATGGTCAGTAAAAATAACTTGAACCCTGCTATTTTGCTTACACATTTACCAGCTATACGCTAGCTCCAAGCTGTATCAGAGAATAAGAAAGGAAATCCACAGTTGAGGAATCATTTTTAGATTTCAGAGTAGCAGCCGTGTTAGTCTGTATCCGCAAAAAGAACAGGAGTGCTTGTGCCACCTTAGAGACTATCAAATTTATTTGAGCAAATAAATGTGTTAGTCTCTAAGGTGCCACAAGTACTCCTGTTCATTTTTAGATTGTCCTGCAATCCCTAGTCATAAAAAACCAAAAAACCCAAACCCTTAAAATATAACCAAAGATGTACAGGGTCAGATTCTGTCTGCTGATTCTCTTGCTTTTCTACCAGAACATTTAGTTTGTTGCAAGCTGGGGAGTGAATCCCCATACTAATCTGCTGCAGGTTGATTGTCATTTGACCCTGCTGACCTGCATTAACAGTTAGCTAATGCACTTTGATGTAGTCTCATTTCAAAGAGGACTAGATCAATGTGGATCAGAAGGGTCCACAGGAACAGTTAGTTCACAGCAGGCTGGCATAGTAGATTCATATCCCAGTTGGCTGCTAAATGTTCTTGTAAGCAATCCCTTAATCCCAATTTAATCCATTGACTTCAATGGATTAAGTTCTCTTTTGTGTTACACAGTTGTATATCCAGCATAATATCCCCATTAATTTCAGTGCAGCTACCCTTGTAATGGGAGCAGAATTTGGCCCACTCTCTGCCTTGGTGCTTTAGCATATGTGGCATGTTGTTGTGCTTCACATTAGGGTTTATTTATTGTATGTTTATGCATTAATTTAACTCTGCTTTTAAAATGTGTAGCAGCTTATTATAAGCTAGTTTTCATTCCATACTAAAATATACCCCTCATCATGGTATATGAGTACCTGTACCCTACTGGGATATTTTATCTCCTAGAGAATTTATGTATGCTTTTAGTACAAGAGTTCGAGGAGAGGCTGCTACTCTGGAGTTATCTCCTCTATCCCCTGGCTCTCAAAGATGTATGGAAGGACAGTTTCCAATCTCTCCTATCAGAAACTTGACATCCAAGGTTAAGTCATCTGCCCAAATGTCTTCTCCTCAGTGAGATTCTCAGCCTCTCCTTCAGAAATCACATGTGAGTGATATGGGGCCGTTCTGGGAAAGATACTTCCTTGCATGTTGTCTTGTTCTTGTTAATTATGTTTTCAATTCTTCTGCCCCTCTTGTTGTTGTCTTTTCGTAAACCTACATTGTGAGGTCAGCAGGGCCGGCTCCAGGCACCAGCTTCTCAAGCAGGTGCTTGGGGCGGCCGTTCGGGACAGGGGCGGCAGTTCCAGGTATTCGGCGGCAATTCGGCGGACGGTCCCTCACTCCGCCTGGGAGTGAAGGACCTCCAGCCGAATTGCCGCCGCAGATCGCGATCACGTCTTTTTTTAGATCGCGATCGCGGCTTTTTTTTTTTTTTGGTTTTGGCTGCTTGGGGCGGCCAAAACCCTGGAGCCGGCCCTGGAGGTCAGTGGCGCATGGACTGTCTTCCTGTTACTTGTTTGTACGGTGCCTGGCACAATGAGCCTTAATCTCTGAGTGGAGCCTGTAGGTGCTACTGTAATACAAAAATAAATAAATAATGAAGTGCCTTAAAGACCTCTTCAGGAATGGATGCCCACAATTTGACTTACTGGGACTGATTTTTCCAGTTTACGTGCATCTAAGTGATCATTTTGGTCTTTTTCCCTTTAGCTTTCACCACAATTTGTTTCTGATGTACATCTTTAGTTATATCTATGGGTAGGGCTACGATTATGTCATGGAATCCGTGACTTCCAGAGACCTCCGTGATATTTTCTGCCCCGGGGCTGGACTGCTGTCGGCAGGCAACGGCTCTCTCAGAGACCCCCAGCAGCTCCCACTCACTGCGGGAGACTGGGCTCCCTATAGCTGCCCAGCCACGGCAGGTGGTAGGAGTCCCCCTCTCCCCCCCAGCTGCCCAGTCGTGGTGGGCAGCAGGGAACCCTGCAGCAGCCCAGCCACTGTGGGGGACCCCTCCACAGCAGCCCAGCTGCGCGCGACGGGTGGGGATTGGACCCTCTCCCTCCCCATTTTGTCAGGGTTATTTTTAGTAAAAATCAGGGACAGGTCACAAGCTTCCATGAATTTATTTTTTATTGCCTATGACCTGTCTGTGATTTTTTACTAAAAATATCCATGCCAAATCTGAGCCTTATCTAGTAGTGTGGTTCTATACTGTAAACTATTTATGCAAAAATCCATGTACCCTTCTAAAATGGCAGTGATCTGTTTTCATTTTGTTCATGTGCCTTGTGGATTTTTATGACTTTTCTAATTTCCACTACATATGGTCCCAAGCCAGTTCAATTTTAACAAGTGCAGGGAGTTCTCAAGCTCCAGCTCTTTTCTAATGAGAAATAGCTGCTCTTCTAGTCCTTTAGTATTTAATGCAGCTTTTTTCAGCATTCTCATGTTCTTTCAAGTGATTTTTCTTCTGCTGCTATTGGTAAATGCCAACACTGTGTGTTACTGCAATAAATCTGTGTCCTTCCTGCCATTTCTTCTTGGGGTCAGGAGGTGGGAAGGGCAGTGCCCCCTCCCTCCACTCCCCCCCCCCAAAAAAAATCCTGCAACACCTTCGTCCTAGCAGCTTCTGCCTAGTTGGTGAGATTTTGATGTTACATCTTCATTTTCTTTTAATATTTATTCAAGGCTTATTTTATGCTCCGTTCTTTCTCTTGTACTGCATCTCGTTCAAGCTACTGTGTACATGTGGCAGTTTTGACCGAAGTGTGTTCCGTACCACTTTAACATGTGGCATTGGTGCACATAGCCATCTTGCACCTCATCCTACCATTCATGTGTGGGTATAACTCAACTGACCTCAGTGGTGGTCTTGCCTATGATAGAACTGTAGTATCGAGCCTTTTATAATTGCTTGCTTTTCTAATAATCCAGCAAGATATTTGGATAACTGCTCTTAGTCTCTCTGAGCCGCCTCTTGCTGCCCACAAGCAGTTATGTAATAGCCTGTTGCAGATTACACAAATAATAATGTTGTCAGCATTACTGGTGAACACTGAATGAAATTCATCCCAGAGGGTATGGTTAGCACCAGGGCTTCTGCCCCACTTAAGCTCTGTTAAGATCTTATGTTGGACACAGGGTTTTGCACAGGCCTTTTGTAGGATAGTGAATTTCCTGCAAGTTTTAGCTTGAACTGGATCACAGACTTTGGCTGTAACAGTCTAGTTCCCAATGGGTATTTGTCTACACGTCTAAACTATCAGACAGTTGGGTATAGTGACCATCTCTATTGATCTGTAGACTGTGAATCAGGACTGGACTATTAGCAGTATTGCAAGTTGGGAGTGAGTTTATTTGGCAGAGCTGTATTGAGTATTCT